TGCAAGGCGCATGCCAAAAGATGGTATGATGGTGGTCAGTTCATTCAACGGGGATTGCTCTTCGCTATGGTCTTCAAAGATGAGGGCAATGTCATCTGCGTACTCCAGATTGACAAGGCCCTCACCAGCAACCATTTGAACACCGAAATTTTGAAAACCGTGCAGTGTTCACCTCATTATTTCATCAATGACGAAGTTGAACAAGAATGGGGCGAGTGGACATCCTTGTCTGACACCACTTTTTGTAGGGAATCTTTTAGAGAGCTCACCATACACTTACCCGCCCAGAAGCATATGAATATAGGGATCGGATTATGTTTACAAACTTCGGAGGCGTACCCTGTTGAGCAAGTGTAGTTAACAGCACTAATTGATCAACAGGATTGTGGGTCGTGTGTACATGTGGCGTTGCTCTAACACCTGAGGGTGTGTGAAGATGTGGTCAACGCAGCCTCTACCCGGTCGAAATCCTGCTTGATTCTGACCAGTCAAGACGTCGCGTGCCACCGTAAGACGACGAAGAATCAGTGACGCCAGAAGCCATGGCACAACAGGCGTCAAACTAAAACCTCTGTGGTTATCACATTCACTACGAGTACCCTTTTTGAAAATGGGCACCACTTGATTTAACCCAGTTGTCTATGACGGTCTCCTTCTCCCAGATCGACCGTGCAGTGTCAACGTCCGCACACCAAACAACGACTAGCGGAATGTTAGCTCAGTAGTGTTGGTTAGGGTCGTCCCTTCCGACGACAGTCTTGATTCTCATTGGCGCACATTCACCCACAGACAGATGCTAATACGCAAGTGTTGGACGGGACGGTCTTTGAGGAAAGTATAAATAAATAGATATCAAAAGTACATACACTGGGTAAGAAAAATGAATGGGGGATTATCATGAGGTCAAGTAAAATTTAGTGGTGAGTTTATTTACATCTGTGCAGTTCACGGTTGTACGTGGGCAGGGATGCTACCAGGGCGTCCACAACAGGAGAACTATCAAAAGTACATACACTGGGTAAGAAAAATGAATGGGGGATTATCATGAGGTCAAGTAAAATTTAGTGGTGAGTTTATTTACATCTGTGCAGTTCACGGTTGTACGTGGGCAGGGATGCTACCAGGGCGTCCACACCTAGACAGGAGAACGATTACGGTCTTCAACCAAAGCATTTGGCTCAAAAACAACGGTGTCTGTCCGGAAATGGATATACATTACCATTTTCACGGAAAAGTTGCCACACGTTTTAACCGGTGCCATGGAGGACCAGGACACTGTATTCGTCAGAACTCTAACCACTGACCAACTTGGTATGGGAGACTCTGCGAGTGTCGCGCGGACACCAACCAGTATAACTCAGTGGGTCGCCGAGATACACAAACCGTTACACCATGGTTAGGTTCAGCCTCTTAGTGACGGGGTTCACTCACTGATTGTGATTGGATTCTGAATTCTCTTTTTCTGATACACAGCATACCTAGACCCCAATAAGGTCCAGTATGCGAGCAAAAGTGGCTTGTTGTCTTGCTTGTTACTGAGTGCTAACATTGAGATCAGCCAGGTAAACTGTGCGAGATGCCCCAAGTGGTTAGAGCGTGAATTTATTGGTCGGAAGGCCCGTGGTTCGAACCCGACCTGCGCCTCTCGACTTTCCCTGTCTAGGCTTGGGCAACCTGGCAGTATCCAAACCCTCGTACAACCTTTGGGTGGCGTGGCAGCTAGGCACGGAAAGGGTGCTACAGCTGAACGGTTTTTTATACTAATGATAATTCAGCTTTAACAACCTTTCGGTGCCTAGCTACCATACCAGCCGAAGAGAGTAAGAGAGCTGCGATACTGCCAGGTTACTCAAGTCTACACAGGAGAGGTCGAGATGAGGAGGTTGGGTTCGGCCGACGGATCTTTCGGTCAGTAAATTCGCGTTCTAACCACTAAGCCATCTCTCCTTACTGGGCATGGAAGTTTGAAGGTTGATTTTAAGATACCTGAGGCCACTGATATTCCATTTGCACGCAGATCTCGCATCGATGATCAGTAAGATTAATTGGGTCTTCATTCTTAACGGATGGGATCACAAGGAGAGCACTAATAGTGGGGTGGATGAAAGGAAAAGGATTAGTATGCTAAAGGGAAGGATGGCTGACATCGCCAGTAGCCTTTTTTCGCATACCCATTCTGCTCTATACAGCAGGTAAGGCGATCAGGTTGTGAGTCACCCGTGGGCTGCTATACTACCATAGTGTGCGAGTCTGAACAAGAGTACAACGAAAGTCCTCAACCAATGCGTTTGCCTGAAAAGTCTGACCGCAAGGCAACAGTTTTTGGTGGGAGCTGCCAATTCATTACATTTTTTTGAAGAACCAGTAACCACACGTCACATCCTTCAGCCTGTAGGAGATTTATTAGTCAGAGCTCCAACTATTGACAACCTGGTGTGAGTGCGAGTCACGGACAAAACCTAGTTTAACTCAGTAGTTCATGGATGCGCACGAGGTATCACATCACGGCTAAGTCCAATTTCATCGTGATGGAGCCCGCGGTCAGACTATTATTCATGCATACCTAATTTGCGTAGCAGAAGAAAATCGGCCACGCAGAGCATTTTGGTGCGATATTGTGCGGGGTGAAACCGATGTAGAGGTGGTCGTGACATTCGGTCACTGCTATCGACGTTTGTGGTGATCCCGAGACTAGGCTCACCACTGATCATCACCATCACTAATAGCGACACCAACTAAGAAAACTAGCGCTTCCTTGTTGTAGAACCATACTAATTTATCTGAACAGTGCCTTATAATAGAAAGAAAGAAATAATACAGGGAGGGGATGTGGGGCTAGTCTGTCACAGAACCTCCAACACTCAGCCAGACAGTGTGGATAGATACTGACAGCATGAGCTCCACTGGTGTCGGCTTACCGCCATTTCATTCAATCTCTCCAGCCAGGCGCAGGGAGAGCTACACCACTACAGGTTTTCACTTGTTTCTCTAGTTGACTGTTTGACTTGCGTATATATATTTTAGCATCGTTCCTTGGTTGGTCATTCTCATGTCTTCGACCAAGTTCGAGTGGCCTTGGCAGTATAACTTCCCACCCTTTTTCACACTACAACCAAACATTGAAACTCGCCGAAAACAGCTTGAGGCATGGTGTCAACTAGTTGTGGCCTATTTCAAGCAGCGAAATGTTTTTACAGTTAGTGTGGCAAGCCTTCGGGATCCAACTTGTCCTCTTTTTCACAACAAACAGCTTGAGCGGAGTGCCAATTCGGAGTTGATCACGAGTGTTCTAGAGGAGCTTCACAAGCATGGAAACCTAGAGTGGATAGACAAGTGAGTTCTATTTTGTTCATAACATATACCCACTCAAAGCTCTTTTGGGATAACTTGATGGAGACGATCAACCGGCGGGCGGGTTGTAGCTTGATAAGGTCCTCAAATAGTGTACTCAACCGTGTTGCTGATAGCCGGCTCTCTGGCTTGACAAGATCAGTAATTAGTGATTGTGACTGAAATAACTACATTATGCGGTGACTAGCATTCTTGCACCAAATGCTACCGAACTCGGCTTAGTTCTCCTTATACTCACTTGGAAATCAAATTAGACCGGCACCTCCAATCTACGCTCGTTTTATCGTGATTTCTCTTACTCTTAATGGAAGACACTAGCAGCCGGAGTTAACAAAGTTTGGACAAGCGACTTATTGGTACAGAACAGAACATAACATTGCAGCTGGGACGATGGCTTCTATTTTGCCCTGTTAAGTCCCGCTTAAGATTTTTGTGTGTTGAAGTGCCACACACCCTTAGCAACCATATCATGCGTCGGTGAAATGCTAACTTGGCTTGACGTCCTATATGTGCACGGTGTCTTTATCTACGGTGTCCATCTCCATGGACCTAGCGTCCTCAACTTGTCCGGTCACTTTACTAGACTAACCATTTTATTGCCTCCACGATCTAAAACAAACAAGTAACTCGGGTGATTGTACTACACTTCTTCTTAGGGAGAAAGACATTTCGATTTCTTGAACTTCAGCCATGTGTTAAACATTTTGGATCGGTTGGATGGGAGTAGGCGATTCACGAAACAACGGATTGAATTACAGAATCCGACTTCAGTTGAGAAATAGGATGAGAATTCTTGGATCCGATGTCCGAAGACATGCAGCCTCAGTTTTAGTCACTTAGAATGTGGGGCCAGTGTTCGGAGATACCACCCAGACTTACATCACCTGCAATTCGGCAGCGTTTCGGACTTGGGTCTACACCCAACAAATTCAGTCCTAGTGTGATGCATGTGACCCTAAACAAAGAGCTGTTGTGTCGAGCTTCGTCGTTTTGGAGACTTTTGAATTCAAACTGGGCAGAAGGCCGTCAAACTTCCGTGTTGTCATATCCTACATCTCTAGATTTGAAAGTTTTGGTCGCCTTAAAACAGCAAAAATACAGATTGTGGAATCTTAACATTTCGGGTCGCTTTAATTGATCGCATGCTTAATCATCCAAAGTTTATGAATAATAGAGACTGAACATTGAGGGTCACGTGAGGCATTATGGCCTAGGTTAAGGTCGTGCCAGCTTCATGCTAAGCAGCGACTCTAATCAGTACTTTTTATGCGTATATTGTTGGCTGCTGTTTTAATTAAAGCTTCCCCGCAAAAAGCTGACAACACAGCAGAACCGTAACAACATTTTGGTAAGCCTTTGAATCCGCTAAGAAAGGCACTGGTCCGTTCCGTCTGCGTTTATTTCACTGCTGCAGTATTCGGCACATTGTTGGACTTAGTCTTCTGGTCCTAGAGGTCAAGTGCAGCTGAGCAGCTGGAGACGTGATTTAGGGAGGATTTGCGTTTTTGTTCCATGTTGTTAGCAGTGTGATCGCCAATGGACGGCAAACGTGATAAAATTTCTTTCTCTGAAGCGGTGGTAATCACGTCAGATGGTGTGTTTGGCCTACTGTGAGGATTGATGGATCTGTACGGATAACCGTTTGCAATTGGCATCTGTTTCAATAAGACTTCTTCAGTCAGTTTGTCTGGGATGCATATGTTTATCGCTATGTGAGATAATGCTTTTGTGTAAGCTCTGCTTATACCCAATGGCCTATAAACGATTGAAGTGCAGATACTGGCTGCTCCTTGCGGCTTTGTGACAGGCCTTGTGTCGCAACTTCCAGTTCGGTCACCGAGTCATAAGAACATCTAGAAAGGCTAAGTTTCTATTCGATTTGACCTCGCAGGACCCTAACAAGTAAGGGTGAATGAAATCCATGATGTCGAACAAAACTTATGGTCAGAGGTAATAGTCAAAATATCATCGACGAACAGCTTGTAAAAGTAAAGGCTGGAAGTACTATCACAGAGTTCTTCGGGTTTTGCCTACCAATGGTAGACCTGGTTAGCCGCCCGTATCAACGGCTTGTCTGTAAACTGTCGCTTACAACGGATGTTTGGGGTATAGTGTACTATAACGTCCATAAGTAATTAAAGTGGCACAGCTAGTGAGCGGTGTATGCCTTGTTCGAACGTTTCTTATAGTGGAACATTAGGAATGAAAAATAATTTCTGGGAACTTGTAGGCGAACGATCAAGCGTCCGCCACAGTCAAAGAAGACCTTCAAGCAATCGGCTATGGGGGGGGGGGGCGTGGTCACAACTTTCTGAATGGAAGCAAGAATGTCCACTAGCCGACGGGCAATTTTGTCGTACACTGGATTTCGCGAACCTAAAATCGGTCTCAATGGTACTTTTGGCTTGTGGATTTTCAGCGAATGCCTCATTTGTACTGTTTGAGTTCCGATCCGTTTGAGACGTTTTTGTTCTTATTCTGAGATCGTACCTTGCAGTTTAAGACTTCTACTTACTTGTTTCCAGAAAAGAGTATTGTTTTCTTAAATTTCCTTCCATCTACAACAATCCCGGTCATTTTTGCTATGATGCTGTTGTCTTTTCCTTTTATAATAATATGATATAATGATAATATATTAATAATCGTTCATCTGTAATATTTTTTCGGCATCTAGCTCCCATGCCATCTGATAGAAGCACGGGGGGGGGGGCGGAGATGCCATCAGGTTGCCGAAACCTAGACAGATGCAGTCGAGATGCCGTGGTTGGTTTCAAACCGCTAACTTTCCGGTCATTAAATCAGTGCCTTAGTCATAGAGCTATCTTGATCTCCTCTTTCTGGTTACAGGAACATCAAACATTATTCCCAGAGCATAACTCTCCGAGAGCATGATGGTGCTCGGGCATCAGACAACTGGTTATCGCATAGTCCCTGACAGAATCTCACTTGACCTATCCACCAGTATTGCTTTAAACCAACCCACTCCTTTGCCATCAGCCATAGAGTTTCTTAAATTGGTGAGACAGGTTCTCGAATTAGCTATGGGTTTATAGTTTGTTACCTTTTTGGGAGGTGTTTTAAACGTCAGACCTACCGACAAGACCTCTATTTGTGCTATCATGGGTGACACTGAGGAGGGATTATGCACTGCGGAACCATGGGCGGATTGGTGAGTACATTCGACCACTGCTTTACATTAGCGTGTACAGACTGCGTTAAGCAGATGTACGTGACGAAGAAAGTTCGCGATGCGACACAAGCTTTATAGGTTGCACTCATTCCCCCCTTATCCTGAGATGGTTTGCTTCAGGCTCTTTCTACTTATATGAAGAAAGTTGGGTACTTCGAAACCACATTTTACCTTCTCCCTTAGGTCGCACACCAATGCTCGTATAATTTGGCGGACACCTGAGGAATGGGCGTCTTTAATTTCATCCTGGGCGCGTGCCTCCGGTCATGGAAACTCGGTGTGCACACTGTTCGAGCTCACCGACGGTGAGGATACAGAACACGAACCTTTCCATGGATTGGACAGAACTGTTTTGATACAGGCACTTCAATGTTTGGAAAAACGTGGAGAGGCCGCAATGATGGGCGAAGAGGGCGTGAAGTTTCTCTGCGTCTGACGTGGCGCATCTGGATCCAAGTTTTTCAGGTGCTTTCTATGGTGAATCCAAAATGGTCGTGCAATGATGGCTCGATCAAACCACTGTGAATATGATCAAGCAACGAACTCTTCTTCTAATTTTTCAGTTGAAAGTGTATTTTTACAATTTCTCCTGTTTTACTAATAACATACTTTGAGCTTTGATTTGTCCTTGTTCCCTTGAATTATCATAGTTTTTTTTCATTGCCAACACATAGTTTACATAGGAGAATGGGTTATTTTCGGCTTAGAAAATTTCGTCGCATTTCTTCGGACTGGCATACTGATGATTAGGATCACTTTGCTCCAAAGAATGTCTCTGAATTCAGCACAGGCAAGTTGTTGGAGTCGGAAAAGTGGCGAATAACGCTTGACCTTTTGGCAACTCTGCCAAACAACGGGGAAACCAATGCGCATACGACTGACCATGTAGACCATGAGATACCTGAGGCATGCCACAGGCCGTTGTTTCGAAATTTCTGGGCAACGCGGTGCCTACTCACGAGTAGTTCGGTTAGTAATCGATTTTTACTAAAGCTGGCAACAACCTGCTACTGAAAATGGGTGCGCAATAAGCTACGTTCCACCTAGCTGCCATTTTTAAATATACACGGAACTTTAGGACGATGGATAGCCGACTACTTCAGCCCGAGTCTGTGGCACTAGTTTTGGTTTGGAAAGCAAGATGACATGTTGCACGTTGATTTCTCAACCGGTCCAGTGTGTATCACTTGATGAAGACTCGTAGTAACACTTGAAAACTGGTCTTCATTGACTGTTGAGTACTATAACAACGTACGAAAACCTCGCGGTACACTTGTTGACCACTGGGCTGTCACACTGATCATTGTATGAGGCGTGCATTTTTACAGCAAAACAGCTTTTGCTCATTGTGGAATCTCCGTGCCTGTCGTTGTTCAGGTTCAGGCTACACTATTCACTACGTTCACCAGTCATGTCCAACAAGTGTGATATGTGCCACGAACCTTTGGCTTCATTCACAAGTTATATCTGACTCTGAAGTAATCGATAAAACAGCAGTGCATTAACAAGTGGTATACAGTCCTGGAAGGTAACATGCGTTACAAGCACTTGAGTTTGTTGACCGGTTAATTTTCGGTCTTCCGTTGAGAGTGGTTCTAGTAACCCTTAGGAGTTAATTCAGAATAAACTGATTTAACTGAGTCGGAATCTAACATCCATTATGTATCGAATATTGATACAGGTTCGATCATTCATCTGGTTACCATTTTTAATCATTCAGCCTGTCAGTACTCTCGAGGAATTGGGAAGAACAAATAATTCCCATTAGCATTTTATGTCCTACACATCTCAGATATTCTCGTCGTAGATATACACATTCCAGCCGCAGATCACGCACTCGCGTGGCCCAATAATTCGTCGACGTTTCTTAAAATGTAGCAGCTAATTTCAGTTGGGGTGGCCGCGATACTCTATGTTGTTCTCGTCTAAGCTGTCAATTTGGTCACTCTGAGTCAATTGAGTACTCTTTTATATGCTCCGCTATTTCAGTCATGGTTGTTCCAGAACGGAATTTGCACAACATGAAGTGGAGCGTTTGGTTCCAAACTCAGTTCTGATGTCAAAAATCGAGGAGGTACGCCTGAAGTCGATTCGGACTTGGTGGTTCTCCACATTAAGTTTGAACAACAGAGGTCGATAAAGCTCATTGTCGTCTGCTATTAGTGACAATCTGGACGAATGTAGACAACAAGGCTCGTTTCCTGTGATTGGCCTTTTTGGTGAATTCATGCATTGGCACAAATCTCGTCCGATTCCCGAACATATACTTCTCAATAAAAAACGGAGGTGCGTGGGCTACTGGATCATGCTTATGGAGCTATTATCAACATTACCTTAATTTTGTTTTTGTCGCAAGGATATTCATTTCCAGCTTGGGGTCAGTTCTCTCATCAAGTGCTTTTTGTAGGGAGAATAAATTCGACGTTGGTCAGTTCCTGTTTTCTATACTTCAGTGGTATGACTTCTGACTAAGGAACACTTGGAGGCACTGAAAGGTTTACAGTAGAATGATCAGCTTTCACTATCTAATTCAGATAAAGGCACATGAATTGTTTTGATGGATGAACCCAAATACGTTGATAGGATGAAGAAGGTCCTCTCAGAATCACTGAAATGCTTACAACATAATTAGCGAGTTTTAGGCTCTAAGCTAAGTGAAGTTGCAGGATGGATTGCCATCATTGACAGCTATACGCCATTAGTACATAGTGGTTCTTAACTGCCATACTAATGTGGTACGAGGATGATTTTATCTGTGAAATTCATGGCTGTGTGGGCTCTGACCTAGACAGGAGGACGATTAGATTTCTCAAAGCATTTGGCTCAAAAACTTGACCGTCTAAGATAGCAATGGTTGGCTCGAGACTACTAGGGTAGCCCTCATTAAAAAACGAATCGCTACACTTGTCCCAATCCTTAATCTGGAGAGACAGGAGACCGTAATTGTCAGACCTCCATCCACTGACCAACCTGGAAGTAGAGAATTTAGATGCTGTACAGGCATCCTCCTGTACAGCTCAATGGGTCAGTGAGGCACGCCATCTGTCGCACTACGACAAGGTCCAGTCTCTTCGCGACAAGTCCTGATAAGTGGATCCGACTATATTAATAAGATGGATAACAAATTGTCAGACGAATTTAAATTAAGAGTGAGAACCGAATAGGACGAGACGCAAACGATTGAAAAAAGAAGCATTCTAATTATTACAACACCCTGAAAGATTAATGCAAGCACTACCCTTAAGCTCGTTTGCCTTACTGGTACAACGGTTTCTCGGCTCCATACTTCTAAAAGTGCATAAACTCGGTCTATCTCTTGGGTCCATCCTCGGCATGTTGAATTCCCAATGTCGTGCCTTTGCTCGCTAGCCTGTTAGAACCTATCAGAACAGGACTGTCGACACAGCCCGAGAAATATTTGTGACTTTATCAACCAAATTGCAGCTCTGAATGTCGGTTAATTCTGGAATTGTTGTTGTTATTTACTAACGTACCAATCATGGACACAATAGACTATGTTTATAACGTGATTCAGTATGTGGTGACGAAGTTGTTTGCATGCTTATCCTTGACCTCGAGGATTTACTACGACTACTTTGCATTTACAATGTCAGTTTCATTGATGAAGTTTATTGACAGAGAGGCGGTGTTTTCTTCAGGTCCTCATTCGGTAGTTTTTTTACGAGCACACTTGAACCCAGAAACTGAGCATGCCCGTTGGGCGGTTTACACTGTATGGCCGCTACGAGAACAATATCTTTGCGCTTGGCGATGTTAACGTCAGAAAATGAATATTTATAATTCAAGTTATACTAATATTAAGTTCTGTCTGTGTTACAACTGAACGATACTTGGTCTGTCTGAATTCGGTGGAGTTCTGTGCGGTTTGCTCTATCCACTGACCGTTTTATTGTTCGAGCGAGATGATTCCCGTCCACCTGCTGGTGAATTTAGCCTCATCGACGGATTCACATCTAAAAGTAGGAATTTCCATAGTGATTTTATTTCATATGGCGTTTTCTTGCCGGATTCATTTTCTAAAAGGGATTAGTCTATTTCAGTTGTGAAATCAGTTAGGAATCCCTAGAATTGCCTTCGGGCTGTGGTGCAGGCGGGGCTTATTTGTGGAGTTTATTTCAGAAAGAGATTCCAGTGATCCAGTTTTGGGCTTTTACGACTGTTGCTGTGAAATCAGTGACACTGTTGGTTGACTGGCTGGTTAACTCTGTCTACACAACACCTCCTGGTGCTTATATATAAATTTTGAGCGATATCCAAAAAGGCTTCGGAATGCGTCCGTTGTGTTAAGAAGTCCGTTCGATTTGATGGGTCGCTCAGTATTCGCACAATCGAATTGAATTTTCGAAAGTTATGATGTATCCCTGATGGACTAAGGCAGTCGGGCAATTGAGTTGAGAGTACCAGTCCAAACTTCCAAGCCCCATCTAGGCATCCCGGGGTCTCAGCGATGCTGGGAAATTACCCCACAAGACTTTTCAACCAGGGGCATGGTTGTCCCAGTGGACAGTGAAATTTGGTTAGCTGCAAAGATGTGAACGTAGATTAGGACGATTTTTGGTTTGAGCACATACGCTACAAAATGCAAAATTTTGGCGTATAAAGTTTTAGTTTACTTTATAAGGTTTTGCAGCTGAGAGCATTGTGCGGATAATGGACACCATTTGATGGTGTTCTTTTGTGCCTGACGTTGAGCCATGGTCTCTACACGGGAGATGCAGGACAGTAGGTGTGAAAATGAATCGTGAAGTACATCCTCAGACTTCACTCTACCGTTTTGGTGGTTGGTTCACGGGAATGTATTACGACATAGGAATAACAGTTCCCGTATTAGCAACATTTGTGAAACGTGAGTTGTTATTCATGCACCAACCCAATTAGCATTGGTTTCAATCATCACGGTGGTTCAGAGCTATACCTGTGAAGGGAATTCCATATCTATATTCATGTTTGAGTTGGCGCTGCCGTCGACACGTTGTGTTGGTGGTGGTGGTCGACCATCTTGGCTTGCGGTATCCCGCGTCGGAAACCAACCGGGTCACCATTTGTGCATATGTTGCCACAGATCCTCGGGCATGGGTAAGTGTGGATCGCTCCTCAGCCGTTTGTAAGTAGTCTGTACATTAAAAAATGGCTCAGTTGCAATGTTCAAATGCTTGAAACTTATTTACAAACACTTACCGGCAGAAATATTAACAGTCTGTATCACCATGTCGTGCATCTCACAAACCGTGAATCAAATAAAGACACGACTGTGATCTATCGTCTTCGGAAACAGACTTGGCGACCAGAAGTAAACTTGTACTCAGCGTTTTCATTTGATCGGCACGCCCACATCGTCAAGGATTAACTCCTTGCCTGTGAATGTCAAAAAGCCGACCCCAGTAATGAATGATGAGGTTGTAAATGTGCTATGTATTTTTCAGAACTGACTGCTACTCGATCGAAGGAAATGCAGACACTTGCTTTCCATCACAGTACCATTGGGACGCCCCAGGTTTATCTTATTAGCATGGGTGTCTTCACTCCTCTGGGAGAACTAATGGAAGACTTAGTTACTTGTGCGGGCAATAAATGGACCATTCTAATGTTTGGTGCTCTTGTTTGCATGGAAAATATCACAGTGGATGCCGTAGTTGAAGATACAGTCTTTACCGAACTATTAGCTGCGAATTGAAAATGTAAATGACAGTTACTGATAATAATATTTCTCAATCGATTGCCAGAAAAACAAATTGAAACCATCCAGGAATCGACAAATCAGACGGTGTTTTCTTGTTAAGTACTTCCTTCCTAAGTATGGTGAAAGAAATAAACTGCCTTGACTCTGCGCGCAGGTTGTTTATTAAACCATGCTGTTTTTGTACTGTTTGTAACCCTGTAATACGTATGTTCCTCATGTGCTTCAGAAAACTGAAATGTGTATTGGGGTATCGATAACTTCATGTATTCACAATCACTAATAGGCGATTCACACTATTTTGTGACAGTTGATAGAGCGCAGCTTCTTGTATCTCATGACTGTTTTTTGACAGTCTGTTGTCACCAGTGATCTCTTAGTCAGCTCTGCTTATCAGCTGGAAGCCATGTTTCAGGGGTAACATTTCGGTGCCCGGAGAATGGGAGAGGGTTGGAGACGTAACCAGGCATTGGAGGCGATAGCATGATCAGTTAGTTCGCATTGCATATTTCTCCGAGGGAACGAGAGATTGGACAGCTTCGTACTAGAGAGGATAGCTTTGGCGTATACCATAGATGTGAGCCATAGATGGTTTATGATTCCTGTGTGCAGCAACATGGCTATTGGATGCTTTTTCTTACCTCCAACACGACCGATAAATTCTGTTAGACATCGCTGTTGAAACTAATTGAGTGTGAGGTTGATTATACGCTCCCCATTTGAAGTGTGTACGTAAACGTTCCATAGCTTTCTTACCTACTTTGGTTCATCAAAAATTTAACGACCCATGAAAACTAGGAACATTCACTGTAGCCTGTTTTTTTACAAAAGGGAACAATCCGTGCACGAAAGGATACGAATTTTACCGTTATCAAAGTTCAATTGTCGCGTCGTTTGTCCTAACAAGGACAGAATCTCCGGATAGGTAGATTTGGTTGCATCGGAATGTCACGTACACCATCCATAATTGCCACGTTTTGGAAATAACTCTTTTTAATGAACGGAATAAATGAAATTCTACCGTATTGATTAAAACTTGTCTAGTTTTTTAAAATATTTCCCGTAATTTTCGATCCAGGCGAGAAATTTTCTGCTGTATCTACAGATAGGAAATAACTACGTGGAACTGTGCGTCACCCTCGTTTTGCGCACTCGGGATTGGTTTTCAGTAACCCAATCTCCCAGAGAGTTTTTGTTGAGACTGTCATATGAAGCTAGCCTAAAAATTCAAGTAGAATATCAATCCATTGCTTTATGAAGTTTCCAATCAAAATAGTTTGCGGTCAAGCTTACTTGATCCCTGTCAGACTAAAAACTATGCGTCTGTATTGAATGAAATGAGTGGGTCTATAGACCGATTTGATCTCACCGACACTGGTGTTGTTTCTGCTACCTTATACTCGGTGCTCAAATCTGTTTTCTTCATTTGCGGAGATGTTCGCGGATTTCCAGACGAGCGCGAGCTGTGAACACGGGACTTTCGAACGCTAGCAGACCAAGCTGATAAGCAGATCGTTTTTTCTGCTGTGAAACTCCGAAAATACAGAATCGGTGTCATGCTCCCTCCGCACTTAAAGATTTTTCGAAAGATGGGTTCCGGACAAATCTACTGGACCAGTCAGCCTTTGAGTCAGAGGCTACGGGCAGAGTACCTGAACAAAACCCGACATCCTCCCACTTCCTTGTGGGTCATACTTTTGAGTCAAGGGCCCGAGATGAAGTACCTCAGCCAAACTCTCTTCCTCAGCTTGGGCAATCGGGAACTATCTTTTGCCCTCACAGTTCCGTGTCTTAACACCTTCCCACCATACAAGGGAGCGTTACTGGGTTATCTGACTGTCAGTTATCTGACCGATGGGCTTTGCACACCCACTGCGCACTAAAAATAAACTAATACCTTCCTAAATCTACGAGATCATTTCTGTATAGTAGCTTTCAACGCCCGTATTCTATGCCAAGTTTGCAAACAGGCAATGCCTGCTGAAACCTAAAAGTTGATGTATGCTGTGTCTCCGAAACACGCACACAAGATCCAAGCGTGGTTATACATATCGTAATACCAAAAACGAACTCATGTCCTCCACATTTCTCGCTCTGTGTGTCCGGTAATCCAGAAGCGATGACTCGTGGAATATATGGCGTGGAAGTTGCACTCAGCCCCAGAGCTGAACGCGCTTTGCTGGATTGGATCCCAGTGAATAGTCTTCTTTGCGCTGTCCGGTTATCCAGCTCAATCAAGCTCAACCCCAGGCTCTGACACTGAGAAGGATACTTTCTATCGAGAGTTATCCAAGCTAATTCGTCAGGCAAGAATCACTGACATTGTGATCCTTGCAGGCGATGTGAATGTCCAAGTGGGTCGCATGAGCTCTTTGGAATCGCATTTGGATGGTCTGTACGAGACCCTATTCAAAGAAGAGAGAGAGTCCTTAGTGACCTATCTAACTAGGTTCACTGGTGTTATAAAGAGTGAAGAGAAAGTGCCTGCGGAGTGGAGCATATCTACCTAATTGATACGCAGACACTGTATGAAACACGGTGGCATCATCCCACTAGATGTGGCACCGAAGGTGCTCGCTGATGTTGTCCTTCGAAGGTTGATTGAATACATGGAGAGACACATTTATGAAAACCAAGCTGGGCTCCTTCCTGTGAAAGGATGCATTGATCATATTTTTACCCTCCGATAGATTCTGGAACAATGACACTGCTTTCAGCAACCAACGAAGGTTGTGTTCCCTGACTTGAAAGCTGCCTTTGACTCTGTGGACCTTCAGGCACTTTGGCAGTGTCTATGGAGCAAAGGCTTACCCCATAAATTCTTTACTCTCCTTAAGGCGCTGTGCTCCAACTCTCGCGGATGTGTGAAGGTCTAGGGGAAGCTTTTGCCAGAGTTCACAACATCCAGTGGTATCAGGTAAGGTTGTCCTCTCTTACCTTTCTTCTTCAACTTTGTCAATGATACGATTATGGAAACCTCACTACGTCTTTAGTGCTTGTGGAGTCGAAGTGCCCCCGGGGCATTCGCACATAGATATCGAGTACGCAGAGGACAAAGCTCTTCTTGGGTCGGATACCGTGATAATGCAAATATTAAATGATCTAAATAATTCCGCCCACGGTTTGGCATGCGTTTCACACCTGCAAAGTGTAAATTGCTACTGCAAGACTGAATGGGCTCAAACCCTAGCCTCATGCTTGCGGATGAACCGATTGAGGTAGTAGGTAACTTTGTCTACCTGGTCAGCTGGATCATGCCCGGTGGTCTCGTGAAATTCGACGATTCCATTCGGATAGTTTTCGTGAGCCTGTGTCACTTGCGACATTAGCCTAATCGTCAAGGGTCGAGTTTCCAATGCTGAGGTGCGCTCCATATTACTATGTGGGTCAGGAGCCTGGCTGCTGCGGGCTGAGAACCTCAAAGGACTTTCAACGCTTGAACATTGATTTCCTTGGAGCACTGCCCGAGTCTGGTGGGAACACCAGATCAGGAATGCTGAGGCACGTCGTACGGTTTTTGGAAGAAATAACTCAACCACGATAGATGAACTCATCACACTGCATAAGTCGCGGTGACTTGGCCACGTGCTCCGTATGCCAGTCGACCAACATCCTCAAGTGATTCTTTTTGCAGAACTACACGAAGAGTGAAAATAAGCCTGGGGAGTTTAGACAATGACTTGGCAGCGAATTATAAGAGCCAGTACTGGTAAACTCAGCTGTGCTGCTCATTGCCGTCTCCTTGAATGAGGACCCCGAGACGGGCCATATTACTGGTTTCAGACATTGTGAGACATGGCCCAGTCGCCCGCCCCATGGCGCTGGTGCACCCAAACTATTGCCTTCAATGCACAGCTCCCTTTCCGACCCCCCACTTAACAGTCCACCTACACGGCTGTATTTACGCACTAATTCACCAGCTCCCGCCTCCAATGCGCAGCTACCTACCTCAACTCCCCGAATCATCGGTGAACGAAACAATGACTGTACGACAAGTTCACGGTTCTCGCCGCGGATAATAATGATGGAAATACGAGATCACGGTGTCGGCTTTGCCCTTCCTGATCTCACCGACAAAAAGGCTGGTTCAGAATTTGGTGGAATCAACCCTCATTTGCATCACTTTGAAGGTTATTTGCATGTGGCTCATTGCAACGCTGAGCAACGCAGAGCAACGCAGCTAAACCTCACGCTAAAGTTGATGCAGTCCTCTGTCGACAAACGAATCCGGTCCCAAAGAATTCCACAACTACTCATTCACACAGAAGTTTTCAACAACACAGTAGAAAAGTTCTGAGTAGCCCTGAGTAAAATCGCTTGATCCTTTCAGAGAGACTCCTTTTCACTTGCAATGGTTCATACAAGGTAGCCTATTGATTACGGGTCTTCTATATCGATTAGTGGACATTGTTTTAAATTCGTTTACATCGCATCTGACCTTGGCTACGGTACTTTTGACTTGTGCACAGCGAACGTGCGTTATTTTAAGCCTGCCACTGAGTTCCTCATTTGTCAATGGCCGGTTCTTCATCCATTCCTCTCTCAATAGATCAATGGTTTGATGGATGAACCTCCCTACGTGACTGTCTCACAAACGACGTTGATCTATGAGAAAGTGAGGAGCGTGTCAGAATCAGTAGTTGAGAACTGCTCAATCGAGATGGCATCATCTACTGAAATCCGAACAGGAACTTCACTGTAACATAACGTCCTAATAATTTAGCGTGTGCGGTTTAATTAATGGAGTCTTAAGCGATTGGAACGAAGATTGTTCTTACTAAAAATGGGACTCTGAGGGTGTGTCCCTACATATATCAGCTGCGATCAGCAACCGTTCGTGCAGTTACTGTCAATGATTTGGTCAGTTAGTTTCACCCAACCATCCCACACAGCGCTTCCATACTGTTTATTTCAGCGTGACTGAAACCTATGAATTTTTCTCTGTCGTATGTAAGTTTGAGTCAGAAAAAGGCAATTCTCTCATTCTTCTTGGCGTACCCAGATCTTTATATTTGTAAACAGGCATTTCAAAGTGCTAACTCGCGATGGGGGTCGAGATGGCTCAGTGGTCGGAGCGCGAAGTTACTGACCGGAAGGTCCGTGGTTCGAACCCTCCCTCTGCCTCTCGACTTCCTTGCCTAAGTCTGGGCATCTTGGCAGTAACCCAACCCTCATGCTTCCTTCAGGTGACACGGCAGTTGGGCACCGAAAGGGCGCTATAGCTGAACGATTTTTTCTAATGGCGATTACCGATTCAATCATTCTTAGCTTTTTCATGCGGTGGGTGGTCGATTGAGTTCCCAGTTTTCTGCGTCTATCAGTCAGCTCACATGATAATTACTTTCTTTAGCTGCAGGGCATTGTTTATATCGTATTTAATCGGTGATATTCGGGCTAATCTTACTCCTCAGTCCTTAATGAGAAAAACAAATGCTATTTTCGAACGATGCCACACCCTATGGGTGTTTTTATGGGTGGTAGGCACTGACTGGCTTACAGCGCACCTATTCACACACACACGCACACACGTCGCCTAATGAGCAAAATATTTACGGACCAGGCTCATTGTTGTTGACCGTGAAAGGCTGACCGATTCAACGGGAGTTCGAGGATGCCCAAAACAACAACAACCTCAAGTGGGAAACAGTTGGGATGGACTAAACTAGGGCAACTCTTACTCGGTCGCAAAGTAGCGGTTTTCGAATATTATTCCCTTCGTTCGCGGTAGTGTGGCACATAACTAGACTGTTCCCATGTGGTGTTTTGAAATATATAGTGCTTACAGCGCTCCATTTTGTGGAATAGATTTCGACTATCACGCGTGCGTATTATTTGCTTTCGATTTCAGTGTTTCCCTCTGTTTTGTGCTGTGCATCAGCGGCTCAGTAAACAATTTAACTGGAAATTGCTTATTCCATTTCCAGGGGGTTACTTCTTGTCGAGGAGGGCTGTTCAGTGAAAAAGTGACGTGTTTTGTTTGGCACATGTTCAGAACTTGCCATTAGATAATTCCCACACTTGTCTGTGCAGATAAATTAGGTTTCCCCCACCCTTCACATTTTAAACCGGCAAGTAGCCTTACACTTACGGTAGAAAAACGTTCCGGTATCTTAAATTTCGACACGACTGAAACTTGAAAGAGCCTTTGCGTCGTACAGCCGATTGGCTAATCCCATTGGATCTATCGTTTAGTTGACTAATATACGGATGGGTGAAATCAGTTATTGTTCGAGTAATGTACGAGTGTCTCACTGGAGCTATGCTGTGAAGTACCTTTTCACCGGATGAGGCAGTGTGCCGAAGCCGCACTGGAATCGCCCATCCAGCCAAGCCATAACACATGAACAAACGTATTACAGACACCAGGCAGGGAATTCATGTTTCATCAACCTTAGTTTACAAAATCACACTCAACTCAGCGACTGGCGTTCTGAGGACTGAACCCTGTCGGACGCACACACTAAGGGCACACTTTTCATCAGCAAGTTTACTCCGCATTCTTTTTTGCACATACAGCCTCACGGTGGGCTAAATGCTAAATGCAACCCATCTGAATGGTCCACCGGCCGTCAAACACGGACAGGCGGTTTATGAGAGTCCCTCCACATCTGCTTAAGAAGGAGACCATTTCACGCCCAGTCCAAACTTCCAGTCAACCATCGCGATTCTTACTGGTCAGAAATCAAACAGGTTTGCGTGGTGCAGTTAATATTTTTTTAACCTATGGTGGACAGCGAACTAGTAATAATAATAATAATAATGGCCCTTTGGTGTATAACTGTCATGCCATCCGAAGGAATCCTCAAGGCTAAACAACTGCTTGGCGGTCCAAGCTTGTATAGGAGTAGCAACAATGCCGTGTTTGGGTTCGAATCACGGAACTTCCGGTCAGTAAATTGGTGCTCTAACTACTGAGCTGTCTCGTGCTTGCAGACTTAATTACGGTCCAGCCGGACCATAATACATTAACTACACCGTTTCCCTATTTTTCCTTGCGGCGACGCTTTTATGTTTGGTCCCAACCGTCCGAAGTATTGCTTCTGCCCCTGGTAGATGATCCGTTGGGAAATTGAGCTGAATATCGACCAATTTCAGTTCATTCGATACATCGTATCGGATGATCATCATTGTCCTTCGATGCCCAATTAACTGCCCCAGAGATTGACATATTTCCACTCTGCTGTATGTTTCCAACACCGTTGCTTAAACTGGTGTGGGTGGGATACAGTAATCTTCCATATCCTACATTGCTATGTAACTGTTTAAGACTAAAGTCACTTACCGTGAAGCGAGTGCTCCCTAGGGACAGCTGTAATGGTATTCTGTTGAGTGTTCCGTCTGTTGGATACTATGGTATGATGAACACGTTTTTTCTTCAAGCGATTTATACACGGAGGAGCTTTTGAAAAAAATAATAACAGTGGTATTTTCATAAAGGACACTACTCACAAGGTTGCTGAAAACTCTTCGACAGCCCACGACCGGTTTCGCCAAATTGATCTGCAAATGAGTGTATTTCTCG